AAAAAGTAAAGGACACACTGCAGGAGGTCCACATGTTCCCCAAAGATGGCGATTAGCTAGAGAGAAACACACATTCTCCTTCCCAAGGAACACCTGTTGGTGCAAAATCCTCCCAGTGGCAATAAAAAAAACCTATAAAACAGGTTGTCTAACCCAAGTCAGAGGATCACCAGTTTCTGGGTCCCACTGAATGTCCGCCATGCAACCTTTTCTTTCTCTTCTCTGCAAAAAAAACTTTTCTGTCCTTTGCTTCTCCAGTCTGCCTTCAATTTCCATCTAAGTGCAGAACAAAGTGCAGAACAAAGGACCTTCACCACTGGAAATCCCAGCTTATCAAAAGGAAAAGAACAAAAGAAGATAAAGAAAAACAAACAAACAAACAACCTTCTCCCTTAATGTTGCTCAGAGAGCTGATAGCTAACTGAAGCAAATGAAACCACTGACCCGCTATATGGTTTAAATAATGGGCTTTTTGAGGGAAAGTTGTAAGAGGCATATTGTTGACTTTACTTTGTTTTCAGGACATTTAATGGGGATTGTGATTTATGACTCGAAGGCAAAGGACACCTGGGTATCAGAAAGTGTGGGTTTGGATGCCAGGTCAAGTAGGAGTTGGCTGGAAAGGCCCATCGACATGAGAGTTTGGAGGTCTTTAAAGGTTATAGATGTTATAATCAGCTGTCAGTGCAGTTGTGACTCCCAGCAAGGACTATGAACTACATATACAGTTTTATATTCCTTCATTTTAAAGATGGGAAAACAGATATCTTAGGTCAAGCGAAATAACCACAATTTGAGTGCAAAAGTAATGTGCTTTCCAACATAAATTTCTCCCATATTTGGGAATTTATAAGAGCTCCAAGAGATAGAGCTGTGAGACAATCAAAGATAGGTTGTAAAAATGTAATTCAAAAATATGAAGCTCTAAGAAGGACCAAAGATGAATTATAAAAATTGATATTTAAGTTGAGTTTTATGCTGTTTGATTTCAATTAAGTAAAAGAAGGACGTATGATTTGAGTATATCAGTCTGATGAATAGAGATCAATATCTTAGCAAGGACACTTTAGACATTTATAGGATTTATGCAGATTTTAAGTAACTGGTTAAAGCTAAGTCTCTTTAAAAATAATTACTACTATCACTGAATATATACTGTATTAGTAACTGATATTATAATTGCAATTGGCAGGTCATTTTATGGTCTATACAAACCTGATCTCATCTATGGGATAGTTACAATTACCTTTTTTAAAATTTAAAAACAAAAAATAAAGTTCAGAGTGGTACACATCTGTAATCCCAGCACTCACAAGGCAAAGGCAGAAGGACTGCAAAGTTTAGAGAAACTTTGCTTCAAAAGAATTTTTTAAAAGATAAGAAAAGATAAAGAAAGGAAGGAAAGAAATTTCATGACATTTAGGTAATCTACCAAATATAGTAAGAGCCAGAATTTTAACTCAGGTCTTCTGATGCCACATGTGTGATATAATTTTCAGAAATCATAAACAGTTTTGGGAATGGCATTTTATATATCCTGAGACATGTCTAAAGATGTTTTTGCAAAAAAAAAAACATTATATATTTTGGGTAAAGTGAGTTCAGGGTCATATCCTGTCTTCAAACATGTTATACCCTTAAAAAGCTACGCTTATTATATACAATACTGTAATTACTAACATTAGCATTTTCAGTCCCTTTCTTGGAAGGCAGCTATGCTCACCACTATATCACCAACGCCTGCCCAAGTCTTTCTTATTAAGAATGTACCAGAATTAAATTTACTTTTTATATTCATGATAATGAAGGCATTCCCAAACCATTTTTCAAGAACTGACTTAGACAGTAATTGTCAAGGTCTATGAGGTTGCTATAATACCCACTAGTATAAATGATAAGAAATGACTGTGAGCAATAGACCTTTATTGCAGACATTGAGAAAGACAGTTAAGAACATTAGGACGATGTCCTTCTCCATTTTCCTCTGGTAAAGAGAGGATATGAAAATCTCATTCCAAATAATTGGCACTATATATAGAGAGATTCTGGTTTAGTATTTCACCCAAAGCCCACAATACTATCTCCAGTGAAACAGCACTATTTCTGCCTTCTTTTTTACTATTATTTGTTGTGCCTGATGGGTGTACATTATGGCAGTTGTAAATGTTCTTATATCAAATATATCATACTTGAATTCACTTCCTCCATTATTCTCTTTTTTCCTTCCTCCCCCAATTCCTGGAATAGTTTTGACAAGTATCATTTTTCCATTTACATACATGTGTTTACAGTATTTGCTTATATTCACCAACTGTGCTCTTTCCCCATCCAGTGGGAAGAGTGAGGATGTTTCTTCCTGCTTGTTAAATGTCCCTCTCTTATATTTGGCAGAGAATCAGAAAGTGTTCATAGATTTCCAGACAGAAAAGGAACAACCAGCTTCTATAGACATCGTGGTAGTAAAAGCCACTCTTAGGATTCTGTATAAGAGGTCAATGAGAAATCAGCTGCCACATTTTTCTTCTTTTAATGCATACATTAACCCTTACCAAATATTATTCCATGTATTTATTAGTTACATGGAGCCACTAAGACCCAGAGAGGTTAAGTGATTTGCTCAAGGCCAAGAGCTGGTAAATGGAAATGCATGGACTCAATCTACCTTGGACTCCACAGACTTTGTTGTTTGTGCAATTCCATTCTATGTCCTAATTAATAACATACTTTATTTTAAAACTTCAGCATATTTAAGGATCAGCATGACATTGAACATTTATTTTATGATGTGTTCAAGTACATAGTATAAAAGTCAATTTGACATGAATGCAAATCTATCTTAAATATTTTACAGTATTTATTTTGTTGTTGAGATTATGTCAGGTTTTTAGTGGTATAGTCTCACATTTCTAAAACCACAGAATTAATTTTATATATGCCATTTATATAAGTAATTTTATTATTTCCTTTTT